GTGTGTGTGTGTGTGTGTGTGTGTGTGCTTGCTTGTGCATGTACATGTGCTTGTGTGTGTGTGTGTGTGTGTGTGTGTGTATTTGTGTATGTATGTGTGTATGTATCTGTATGTATGTATGTGTGTGCTAAGAACGGAGTTCCAACAAGTGATTCGAACGACAGCGCCGTCGTCATCACTTTCTGTGGTTGGTTCATACATAGAGGGCGGAGAAGGATAGGTATATCGTGTAGAAGAAGCAGATACTAAAATATGTCACAAGACGGAAGATAAGCACCGACGGTCTTTTGAGCTCACGCACGGACATATATGTGAATTGCATTGTGTGGGAGGGTGCTGAGATGGATGCTTGCGGCATACAATACTAATACTAAGTTATCTGCAACGTGTAAACAACCGGCACCCATCCACAACGGCCTGTGGGTTGATGAATGAACGCACTGACACAGATTTTATTAGCTATACACAGTGTATAACACACACGTGTGCGAGAAAGCACAGGCATTATGATCCGAAGGGTCCTAGATTACGGAATGAGATACTTTGGACTCTTATGTCAAACCATCCTTCCTCGCGCCACTGCAATAAACATTCATGTCAGCTGCGCAAACCATCGGCAGTTTTTAGTATGTACAAATACACTAACCCCCTCATCTAACAAAGATAACCCCGGACACATACACACTCCTATCTATGCCTTCATAACATGCAAGACAGATCACATACAATCACATACATGTGTGTACACAACCAATAAAATGCGACGACATACATGTGTGTACACAACAAATAAAATACGACGTGAAGTGGTCCAACCCACACACACCTCCATCGGCAGTATCCTTAGCATCCACTGCGCTGCCAAACAGAACTGTGGCACTGGGTCCCTCTTTCTTAACCTTGGCTATCTTCAGTCGCTTGACACTCGGCCTTAATTCGTCCGGAAAGTACTGTGGAAGGAAAGCATGCAGTGAATTGGTTCATCAGTTTGTAGTCCCAGTTTTCACACGTGCGCTTTGACTTTTGGAATACAGTACGTGCTACTTAGAACACCTTTGAGTCCTGCTTTCCAACCCGATTGATACCTAGGACCGTAAGATCTTAATGGACAGGACCGGTACATTCGGTAGAATGAGGTGCAGCGCATGAGACGCGTAACCTACCACACGACCAACAGAATATACAACCGCCGGGGAGTAAAGGATTTGGAATGTGCAGCGCCAAAGCATGAGTAGCCGAAACATCAAAAGGAAGGTGGTGGAACAGCAATATGCCTCTTATACAGCATATATACGCACGCATAGTTCATAGATTGTTAACCACATTGTATGACATAGAAAAAAGGAAGCTAGATTTACACTCAAAAGCCAGTATGGATACACATTATAATATATAATATATATATATTTATATATATATGTGTGTGTGTGTGTGTGTGTGTGCACGTGTGTGTGTGTGTGTGTCTGTGTGTGTCTGTGTTGTACAATAAATCAGAATAAAATACGAACTTCTCTAACCTACCGACCACATCGCCTCGGCGATAAGCCCCGACACTTCCGTTGACAGCTCTTTGTGGCTGTAGCGATCGGTGTACCGCTGGATCTTTGGTCGTGGTGCTTTCTCCTGTATGTACATAACACTACTCTGTTGTAACAAATCGATGCGGCGCGAATCGCGAACCGCGGCTTTGAGATCTGCGTGTAGGTGTCGATTAAACGCCATTGGGTTAATGGGCGTGCATTGACTGTATATAGATGCGAGCAAGTATGTGTACATGCATGACTGGTAGTATGGATAATCACAATATGAGAGCGCGTGTATGTGCGTGTGTGTGTGTGAGTGTGTGTGTATGTATGTGTATCCGTTATTCCGATATACAAAAAAAATACCTTAACAATCAACACTGGGTGTATTCCAGATCGTGTAAGGTTACAATTCCACCAAAGAAGCTACCTAGACCGTTTTGATGTACTTAAACAAATGCAATAATTTGCATACTAACATATCTATTTCTACACATCAACTTCATAAACTTGACAACCCAATTCAATCAAGTAGTCACACGGATGACTAGTGCCAGCTGTATATAAATATATAGATATATGTATGTATATATATATATATATATGAGTGTGTGTGTGTGCATATATATATATATATATATGTGTGTGTGTGTGTGTGTGTGTGTGTGTGTGTGTGTGACAAGTGTGTGTGTGTGTGT